TTAAATGCCATGAAAATAATGTAAAAAATACCCAAAGTAGGTTAAATATAATACATATTTAAATATTTTAGAGATAAATATTCTTAAATGTCGTGAATGTAAAAATGCCCCAAAATAAGCCAAATATATTATATTAAAAAAAAATTGGGATAAATATCCTTAAATGTCATGAAAGACATGCAAAAATGCCCTAAAATAGGCTAAATATAATACATATTTAAATATTTTTTGTGATAAATGTCCTTAAATATCATGAAAGAAATGTAAAATGCCCCAAAACAGGCATCTCAATCAATGCAAGGAGACGAGATTACATTTTAACACGTTGTCTTGACCATCAAAACAGGTCAGTTAATGTCTCTTATATCACCAAAGCCATGCACTAATGGCCTTCTGGGTAAACTACTATTATAAACAGATTAACGCATCTATGATAGTGCAGAAAATATGACCAAGTTAGCTGGATTTGGATATCTAACTGTAAATTGTGAAGATCAGTGGATCGAATGAGCAGAAAATGTGCATAATATCTACTTGATGTGTTCTGCGCACCGAATCCAAATGTAGCACTATGATAATGTGCTATTTGAAACGCCAGCCACTGGCATTACTAAAAAGACAAATGTGAAATTAAGTATGACTTTCCTGCTTTAATTCTCTTCCTGTAACATGTTGCACAGAGCTACAAACCCATAAAGCATCTGGTTGTTCCTGCATCTGAAGCTTGTGTGCTGTCAGTATGACACATATACATTAAACCACCTTAAATGCATTCATTCTCCTCCGGCGATGATTTGATCGGTTGTATAACTTTGTTTGTGCACATTCTTTGTCTGCTGGATGCTGTCTGATGGCATATTCTAATGTTATACATTGGTAATAGTGTTTAACTGGTGACACAAGCATGTCAGAAAACATGACACAGCAGCAGTTTAATGAAGGAAACACTGCAGGCGCCTCTGTACTACATGCGCCCTCTAGTGATTCACTGAAGTACTGCGTTTAAAACAAAGAACTCTTGTTCCCACGCTGTGTGACGCTTTGAATTATCTGGGTTTTATACTGAGCTAATCATATTTTCTAGCACCTAACCCTACACATAATCCTTTAGATTTTTATTAAGTAATCACTTAGTGTTTATTGAGCCGTTTGCCTCATAATGTTCCAAATACACTGTAACGAAGATTTAAAAAATATATTTTTTTAACCTAACCCTAACCCTAAATTGTAAATAAAGACTGTTATACGAGAAAATTATATTTAGGTTTTTCTATTTCAAAATTTCACACTTAATATTCAGTGCATTACTTGCTGTTTCTTTGTAATAACTTGTGAAATTTACTAACAATCTCTCCTTGAAAATGGGTTCTACATCAGTTTCTTTTCAGTGTACGTGTAATTACCTCTGATTTCCAATTTGCACTCCACCTCATCTTCTCCGAGCTCATTCACAGCCTTGCAAGTGTACTTCCCGCTGTCAAAGGTGCTGGGTTTGCGGATGTTTAGAGTCAAAACTCCCTGATTATTCTGCATCAGGAACTTTGGATTGTCACCTAATATCATCTTGTTCTTCATCCAGATGATCTTCGGCTGCACAGAAACACAGAATTGCTCTGCTCAGAGGTGAAATTTAGTGTTTATTTACTAACTAAGTACATCTCATGACATTATAGGGCTGTCAAAATGACTGAAAAACTAAATTCGAATTTTCAACTTAAATATGATCAAAATTCGAATTATATACGAATATAAAAGGCATAATTTCAGTTAGCTTTTGGCTTCTTTTCTGAGGCCACAAGAGGGCGCATCGAGCAAAATATTATGCACGTTTCTTCAAAGCGTAATAAAATAACCCGACTATCTTCGAAAAAAGTGCATAATGTTTATAAACCATATATAATTAATAAAGTTGCTTAAACAATTAGAAAAAAAACAGCATCATGCATGTATGTATAGTTTAATACAAAGGACCGAAAACCAATCACAAAAGTAGGCTACTTTTAAAAACATGAGATGCAGGGGGATGGGGAAAAACCGCCATAACGTCTTGAGACATGTTTTTTAAAAGTTGAACTTGCATTAATTTTACATGGCTTTCTAAACATGCCGCTCTCTTGTGCGAGACGCGAGTGCAACAGTGATAGATGTCCCTCTAGAAAATGTGATAAATATGCGTTCTGTGTGTTTTGACGTAATTTTTTGGGATGAAATTCGAATGTTTTTTTGACAGCCCTATGACATTATAGCATTAAACTGGATATGACATTGTTTTTTATGTTTGATTTTTCCGCAGTGGACTGTGGAGACGTGAAGGTTGTTGAATGATGGTGAGTATATGTTAAAGCAACACATTACAGGCAAACATATTGGTAAGTTTTGAGAGTTTGGGCTATTTGGCTTTTTATAACATGTTGTTTCAGACTTGCATTTGTAGATTTCAATTACTATGCATATATTTAAAGGTTCAGATTCCTCAAAATATGTTTTTTTTTTCTCCACTTCAGCAGCACTTACATCCACCAAACTTAACAGTTTTATTCTAATCTATAGTCTAATGGGGTTTGGTCATATATCTGATTTTATATAACATTTTATTCCTAAAAACATGGTGTAAATGTACTGCTCTCTGTCTTTTGACAGTATTTTCTGATAAAAATATAAAAAATATCCCCAAAAAACCTTTGACTCTAATATGTCAACAAAATGCAACAGGAATTTTTAACCTGGCTTTCAGATTTATGTTCAGAAAATTCATGCAAATTACTGCATATTTAACTAGTTAATGCCTCATATCTATACATATTTAAATTGAACATTTTAGAAAACTTAAAGTAAACAATTGCCTTAATCTACTGTGATTAATCATCTGGGGAAATGGCAACAACTCAAGTGTAGTGTTCTGCCTCAGTATAATAACATACTGAGCTTAAGACAAAGACTGTGTCCTCATGTTCAGTAGAGTATGTGGAGATGATGAACACTGTCTCGCACCTTTGGCAAGCCTCTGACTGAGCAGCTGATGGCGGTGCTGTAGCCGATAGTCACAGATCGATCGACGAGGGGCGCGGTGAACTTCGGAGCACAGCTCATGTCCTTCTCTTTGTAGGGAGCTCGTTTATGTTCCAAACCTGAGAGTGTGACATTGAGAAACTGACATCAAAATCTACAAACATTTGTTACCGGTGTGCTAAAATGATATCTAGCGAACATAATCCTGACAATGTTACATGCTTGTGTGAATGTACTACCGTATTAATTATAGAGCTGCACGATTAATGAGATGATCAAATTACAGCGGCTGGGATTTAAGTTAATAAATACATCGGCTGCATGTTCAGAATGAAGTGTTGGAGTTTGGATCTGCTTATAATGGGCATTTGGGAACGCAGTGTGCGTACTTTTAAGGTTCAATGTTTGTAAATTAAGAAATGAAGACATTTAGTGATAGATATTTAGGAAATGTAATCATACATATTAGTATTGTAATTTTACAGTTGTTATACACATACAATTTTTATTATGTATTTTTAAAAATTGTGTCCTTTGGATTTTTCCATTGATTCGTGCAGCTCTAAATAGTTAACCAGTCAACAACAGTAACCACAGTTTATCTGCTCCTAATACTTTTTCTTTCTGCAGTGCAGTCAAACAACTAAGTATGATATTTGTTGTGGCATTCTCCCGACATGTACGTCGCTCAGCACACTGACCGGTCTTGGGAACGACGGCGGTGTTCTTGCTCATACAGGGATCTTCACTGAGACCGCAGAGGTTCTCGCTGTAGATGCGGAACATGTACTCGTTTCCGATGACCAGGTCAGAGGCGGTGCAGTTAGTGCGGCGATTGTGCTCATACACCGTAAACCACTCCTACGGGTCAGAGCGTTACACATGAGGAAGTGATGGAGAAAGCGAGTCATTCACACAAAAATAAAGGTTCTGTCATCATTTATTCACCCTCATGTTGTTCCAAACACCCTACCGTAAATAGATGGAGGCTGTTGAGCTCAAAAAATTATGATAAATCACCAAAACAGTAGGCCATATGACTCTATTACTAGTTTGAAGTCACGCTGAAGTCAGAGAAAGATATGACGGTGAGTAAACGATGACAGACTTATTTTTGGGCAAACAATCCGTTTAATGAGTGTTTTGGTGGATAAATGTGACCTTGGAGCACAAAAGCTGTCTTAAGTCGCTGGGGTATATTTGTAGCAATAGCCAACAATACATTGTATGGGTCAAAATTATAAATTTTTCTTTTATGCCAAAAATCATTAGGATATGAAGTAAAGATCATGTTCCATGAAGATATTTTGTAAATTTCCATCTGTAAATATATAAAAACTTAATTTTTGATTATTAATATGCATTGCTAAGAACTTCATTTGGACAACTTTAAAGATGATTTTCTCAATATTTAGATTTTTTTGCACCCTCAGATTCCAAATGGTTGTATCTCAGCCAAATATTGTCCTATCCTAACAAACCATACATCAATGGAAAGCTTATTTATTCAGCTTTCAGATGATGCATACATCTCATTTTCGAAAAATTGACCCTTATGACTGGTTTTGTGGTCTAAGGTCACAAATGGAGATCAGATCTCTCACCTTGGTTTTCTTGTCTGCTTTCTGGATCGTGTACCCGGTGATCTCACAGTTGCCGTCATCTTTGGGTGGATTCCACTCCAGCGCTGCGTTGAAACCCCAGACGTCAGTCACATGCACTTGAGTCGGAGGGCCGGGTTTATCTGGGAAGAGAGTCGGAGTGTCAGATGAACTTGATGAACGTCTCTGGAGTGAATCAAGGGGCAGCATGCGAGCGATAAGACAGAGGGAGATTTCAGGGCTGTCAGTTTAAGTTTCCCAAAAACTGGGATTCGTGAGGTTTGGGAGTTGATGAAAGCTAATTAGGAATCATAAAAAATTTAATAAATATTTTAAAGATTTAATTAACTCTTTGAAATGCAAAATTAAATCATTTATATGTCCACAAATAAATTAATAATAATTAAATCCAAAATGTAAAATTCAAATAAATAATTTGACAATTATTTATATTTACATAAATTATGAAATAAACTTAATAAATAAAAAATAATTAAATCCAAAATGTAAAATTAAATTTATTTAAAATGATTTACATTTACATAATTAGGTAAACCTAATAAATTAATAATAATTATAAATGTAAAATTATTAATTCATGTTAAATAATTGTAAAATATAAAACCTCAACATAACAAAGAACATTTTTTAAATATTTTGTTTACCTGCATGTCATGTGATCATATTCCGACATCAGCCAACCATAAACTTGCAAATGTGTTATATAATTATTTAAATTAACTTAAAATTTGGGGGGTAATTTAATATAGCATATTAATTTTGTTCTTTGAAATTACTTTAAAAAAATAATGCTATCATTTCAGCCACTATGATTTCTATACACCAAATTCAGCATCAGCCAATGAAAATCCTTACTGGTCGACCACTATTTTTAATGATATTCATTAATAAAAATGCAAGATGAGTGAAAAAGTATCTACACATCTTTAAAATCATTTTATCTTACCTACAATTCGGATGTCTATGTTAGCCGAGTCCTCCATGTTTTCAATTTTTAAGGTAAGTGTGTATTTTCCAGAGTGCTCTCTCTCAGCAGAACGAATGAAAAGGATGGAGTCGACGTTTGAGTTCCTGACGCCCACTTTCTTTTCATCCACCGGCTGGCCGTCCTTCTGCCAAACAGCAATAGGACGAGGCTTGCCCTGAAAAAACACATGCACTTGTTCATTTGTGAAGTGATGTGCTTTATCATAGATGTATTTAACATGCACACACCTGGAAGGGGATGACGAGGTTGATTTTCTCTCCGACTCTCTTGATGAACTTGGTTCTGAGTTCACGAGGCAGACGGATCTTAGGATGCTCTGAAACGAGAGGAGAACATCACTGTGAAGGAACAGGTTTTTTTTTTATTTTTCCTGAATCCTGTTGTCTCCTCACCCATAATCTCTCTGACGGTGACGGGTTGCCCGAGCAGTGCAGGAGGGCTGCGGCCCGCCACATTCACCGCAAACACACGGAAATTCATCTTCTCTCCTGTGGGAAGGTTCCTCACTGTGTAACTCTGCCGATCAACCAGATCCGTGTTAGCAGGATGCCACTCCGTTTCTGACATGCAGAGACAGAGAAAGAAATATAAATAGATTATTGATAATAATTAAAACCAAAATGTAATTAAAAATATATATTTATATTTACATATTTATAATAATAATGAATTAAAAAATGACAAATTAAAATTAATATGTTTAAAACAAAAACATTTAAAACATTTGCTAAATAATATTAAATATTGATTTGTTTTTTTTTTCAAATAAATAAATAATTGCATTAATTTATTTAAAAAAACTAAAATTAACCATATATTTGGAATGATTTAGCTTGCTTCTTTTTATGAGATTAACGTGAATGTTAAAGACTTCCATTTGAAATTCAGTGGGAAAAGTTGGCACAGTAAGTTATAATTATTATTATTTTTATTTAAATGAGCTGATTCAAAAATCTGATTTTAGTGTTTTAGTTGCGTGTCTGTTTATATATGTATGTATATATATATATATATGCATATGCACACACACATACATAATTATTGCTATTTGTGATTAGATATTTTTGCATATAAATAAAAATGACATCTATTACTAAATTAAGTGTTCATTTAAATAAAACATTGACTAGATTTTTATTAGTTTATTAATAGTATTAAACATTTTGGGTTTACTTGCAAACAACTACTAGCAAGTTCAAATAATTACTCCAATTTAAATGTAAATAATATTTAAATAACTTTTTAAACCGTTTTAGAGCAAAAACATACATATCAATACATACGTGATGCATAAACAAAACAGTGTCATTTTAGTAACATTGACATTCTATGATAGTTTTTTAATTTACATTTTTTAAATTTTAATTCTAAGATAAAGTTTTAGTTATTTTCTTGTGTTTTTGTCACTGTTTATTATTATTATTATTAATGACATCTATTACTAAATTAAGTGTTCATTTAAATAAAACATTGACTAGATTTTTATTAGTTTATTAATAGTATTAAACATTTTGGGTTTACTTGCAAACAACTACTAGCAAGTTCAAATAATTACTCCAATTTAAATGTAAATAATATTTAAATAACTTTTTAAACCGTTTTAGAGCAAAAACATACATATCAATACATACGTGATGCATAAACAAAACAGTGTCATTTTAGTAACATTGACATTCTATGATAGTTTTTTAATTTACATTTTTTTAATTTTAATTCTAAGATAAAGTTTTAGTTATTTTCTTGTGTTTTTGTCACTGTTTATTATTATTATTATTTTTTTTTTATTAAATGTCTGTGTAGTTTTTATTCATTTTTGTTTTAGATTCAATTATTTTAGTTCTTTAAGTTAAAAGTGAAAAATGTTGCCTTGGACACTAAATAAAACAAAATAAGTCATTTTTCATAAGCTATATCACCAAGCCCTTTCATTTATCTTGCATTATTTATTCACATATATTCTTGGTGGAACTTTGCTGAAGTGCAACATTGTGAAGTAGGTTTGCATCCGCTGTGCTTTCAGATTCCAGAATCATTTGGCACAGATGATTCCAGCAGATGACTCACCTCCTTCCTTGCAGAATTCAATGATGTATCCATCCAGCCCTCCAGCTCCGATCTTCTCAGGAGCCAGCCACTTCAGTGAGCACGTAGTGTCCATTACATCATCAACGGTCAGCTTTGTGGGCTCGCTGGTGGGTGCTGCGAGACAGAAATTAATCAAGAGTTAAAGCGAGAGACGTCAGAAGTTCATAACAAAGCAATAGCACAACCTTCTCACCGATTGGCATGAATGGTTTAGAGTTGAGGCTTGGAGCCGAGATTCCGATTCCATTGACTGCGAAAACTCTCATCTCATACAGAATGCCTTCAATCATGCGCTTGGCCTCGTATGTTGTGCTCTCACAGACGTCAAAGTTAAGTTTCGTCCATCTAGATGATCCTTTCTTCTTCCTCTCCATCAGATAGCCTAAGAAACAGAAGCCAAACAGATTCTTGTTATGATTCAGTGACTTCTTCTAATTGTGTCAAATATTGTGCTAGTACCTAAGTGGGCATAGCTGAGTTACCTGTACTAGGTATTTACTAGAGATGCACCTATATGAATTTTTTCAGCCAATACGATTATTCAGCCAATTATTAAAAATGATATCTGCTGCTATTTATTATAGATATAAAAATCACACTCAACAACATTTGTATACTACTTAATTACACAGGTAGTTTTCATAAAAAAACTAAACTGTTCATGACAGATTTATTCAAACATACATATGTAACAGTAAATAAGCTCCCTCTAGTGTTTTTATTGAGTGATTATATGAGACATGATACATTTTGGTAAGTTGTACTGTATCGCTCAACATACCTTGTGATGTTCATTCATGTTTATTTTGTGCTATAACTTGTATTAAAGTGGAAGAGACTTGCGCTCCGCGCTCCTGAATGAACTGAAGCGCAACAACGATCTGTCACGCCACATTTAAGAGCTTTATTTGATCAAAAATACACAAAATATTGTTATAAAATAAAATAAAAAAGTCAGTCAGTACTTTATCGATGGCATGCATGCATTTTGTTTCTTTATGTTATATTTGTGTATATTCAATTTTCAATTTAAAACCCTGGCAATAAGCATGTATTTGATTTTTAACTGCAGTCGTACCTGTGTAAAAATATAAAAATAAATCAATTCAATTAAAAGCAGTTTTCCACTCTATATTACGTCTGGAGTCATTTGAAGCATGTAGAGATGAGTGTTATTTTTATACTTATATACTTTTACAGTTTTATTCATATTTAGAATGATTATTTTTATATGATTTAAATTTTTTTATTTTGTTATGTGGTTTTGTCATTTCTATTAGTTTGTTTATTTGTTCTTAGTTAGTTTAATTTAGGTTTAATTTGTTTTTATTTCAATGTTAGTTTTAGTTTAGTTCAGTTTTATTTTTTATTTATGTCCTGTTAATAATTTTAGTGTTATACCTCAGTTAGTTGCCAAGGCAACATTTCCAATTTTATTTTGTTTTAGGTTTTTCCTGTAATATTTATAATTAATTTCAGCATAATTTCAAACAAAAAAGCTGTAATTTAAAAAAAAGTTTTAGTAACTGGTGAAGATTCTATATCAGTGCATCCCTATTTGGAGCGTGTGTATAACCCACTAGGCCAAATATGTCAAATTAAATGACATAATTATGAACACTACTGATTAATTGTCTTTATTTTGTATGTGTACCTTGTCTCCCTTCATCCAGCAGACGGTGGGAGCGGGTTCTCCTGTGATCTCCACATCCAGACGCAGCTTGTTACCAGCAACAACAATGATGGTGTTCTGAGAAACCATGTTACCGGCCACATCCAAATGGATCTTAGGAGGATCTTAAAGGAGCAAGGCAAAGTAAGCGGATAGAAGCAAGTGTGGTTAGAGAGAGCAACCTGGGGCCGTTTTCATAAACTCAGCTTCTATGTTCATACTATGTCTTCAGAACTAGTCTGGGCTGTCTTTCCCAAAAGCATCGTAAGCCTAAATTGACCGTAGCTTCATTGGTTTCAATGGGTCTACGATGTACTTAAGCTTACGATGCTTTTGGGAAACGCAGCCCTGGCCAATTAGCAGTTAACCAAAGGTAAATCATTCATATTTTCAAACTAGTATGTTGGAATAAGAAATTAAAACGTCTGGCTTAGGGATTGATTTTTGTCCTACCTTGTCTGGGAACATAGTCGATCTTGATTTCTGAAAGAAAAAGAATGATCTGTTTATGTACAGTCATAACAAATCTGAGGTAGTCTTGCTCACTATAGAGTTTCCTTCTCACCCAGAAAGTTGAGTTTAGCGGACAGTGAGAGCGCATAACCGTCTGGGACAAACGTGTAATCTCCAGCATCCTCTGGCTTGACGTCATCAATGGTTAAACGATGAATCCTGGAGTCACACGCACACATATTTCAAACCCGTACAATTACGTCTTATCAAAGTGAACACGTGTCTGAATGCTGACCTGCCGATATGGGAAATCTTGATACGGTTACTGGCCTGAACTTCCACGCCATCCTTAAACCATTTCCCAGTGACTTTTTCATCAGACACCTCACACTTGAACATAGCCTGCTCTGCCGATTTGACCGTAAGATCTGCGATACTCTGCAGCACCTCCAGTTCCTTCTCTGGGGTTGAGTTTGACAAAGAGAAGAAAAAAACGATTGAAGATTTTCAACTTTAGTCTGCAAAACCACCAGTTAAACAACTGGTGAGGGCTGTAAGTAGAGATCAGATTTTACCTTCAACGATGAGCTCTCCCTTCGAATGGCCTCCGTTGGTGTAAACAAAGTACATCCCACTGTCCTCTACGGTCGCCTCTTGAATAATAAGACAGTGGCGTTTCCCGTCCTTTTTAAAACGATACTTTGAACTTTTGTCGTCTCGAGACAACTCTTGATCCTCAAACATCCTGCAGTTACACATACAGTCATGGCCGTTCAAAATTCTGAGATAAATACGATTTTTTTATGTTTTTGAAAGAAGTTTCTTATGCTCACCAATGCTCCATTTATTTAATCTAAACAATTGTGCTCATTTCTATTTTATATGTATATTGTGTAGAGTTGCATTATATATTGTCAGACGCCTCACATAGTGTTTTATGTCTAACAAAAGCATTATCAGTATCATGATGATGTAAACTATTGCCTGTTTGTAGTTTGTTTACCAAATGACATGTGCTCCCTCCTCAGACACTTCGATCTCAAACTCCACTCTTTCTCCAACCACGACCTGGTAATCATCCAGCAGTTTAGTGATGGTGATCGGAGGTTCTGTAATGCAATTTGATAAGGTGATTTTAAACATTAACACTAGATAACGGCATTGTTGCATTGTATACATTGGACTATAATAGTGTCTTCAGAATGCTAGAGGAGCTTACTGTTTTACACTTTACTTTGACATTAGTTTGCAAAGTGATTCTTAGAGGAAAAATTTAATGCTAATTAATATATGTATACTGTATATCATGGATTTTTGTTGATGATTTTGCAAATGTCTATGTTAAGAAATGAAATGAGAGCACTGCAGCTCTCCAGATGAATTTGATGAAAAAAATGGTAATTAATTCGCACACACCTTTAACAAAGACTTCCGTGAAGCATTTATCAGTCCCGATCACACACTCATAAGCCGCATCATCTGCCAGACTGCATTTGTTAATCGTGAGGGTTCGAATATTTCCATCAGACTCTATGATGTATCTGCCATACAAAGAGAACGTTAAATCATGGAAATATGTGATGCTTCCTTACAATATCAAACATAAAATAAGTTTGGATCTCCAGGCTTCTAGTGACCTCTGTTGCTTTTTTTATAGTTGGAAAATGTTGTTAGTTTTGCCATTTTGTTTGGTGCATGAGACAATTTTAACACATTTAAAGCTTAAAATATAAAAAAATGGATCATCTTAGTAATGCTTTCACCACATGAGCAAGTGAAAGTGCTTTTCTCAAGAATGTGTCTTTGAAACTCAATGCATTTGTGTGTATTTTCTGGATTCTCACTTGGCAGAGGTTTTGATCTCTTGGCCGTTCTTGAGCCATTTGACCTCAGCATTAGGGTCGGCCACCTCCACAGACAGGACGATCTTCTTTCCCTTGTTAACGGAGTACGCCGACTCCAGTCGTCTCAGGAACGCTGCGCAAACATCCCACACACAAACACACAGTCACAAACAGAAGATCAGAGACTTGAGTTTTGATTGATCTCTCTTTCTCGTACCCTCGCTGACTTTGGGCTCCACGACCTTCATCTTCTTGAGTCGCTTCAACATGCCACGCAGGTCAGTGATGCCGTACTGAAACGCGATCTTCTCGTACTCGCTGGGATGAGCACTCTTCAGAAGCTCCCAAACGTCGATCTCCAGCTCAGGCTCAGGCTTCTTTTTCCTGTGAAAGAGAGTGATGTGATAAATAAGAGTGAGCGGTTAGAGGAGACGGAGTGCGGTTATAATGGACAGAGAGAACACTTACTTTTTAGCGGCTTTGAGAAGAGCACTGAAGTCCAGTTCACCCTCGTCCTCCCCAGCATCTCTGTACAAGAGCACACATTGAATTCACAAAACACAATATATGTATGTGTGTGTATATATATTCACTTCACTCAAAAAAGTATATATTTTTTTTCACTTAATTTACACGTCACACATCATAACATTTCTAAAAAAACATATATGTAATACATATGTGTATAACAGTTAACCAATGTGTTTTTTTAAAGGTTGGTTCAATTGCTCAATTATTGTACTTAGCCCTGTTAAATCCTAAATATGTGGCTGCATACTTGTGAGAAAAGTGTATTCGCTCACGTCTGTCTGTCTACTCAGACTCACGCTCTTTTGAAGGAAGACAAAATATCTGCTTGCTCCTCTTGTTCAGCAGCTACAGAAAAGGAAGAAAGATAAATATAGAACAGTCATTCTACTAAAGATGGTGTTTTAGTGTTATTTTTGTTGTGAGAGACACACTAACCCTCCACAGTGACCTCAAAGGTGCAGCTGTCACATTTGTCTTTAGCAGACACTTCACACCTGTATCCACCTGCGTCTCCTGGGACCACCTTGACGATCTTCATCTCGTAAGTGTAGATCTGAGTGAAAGAGTGAAAGCAATGCGCCACATTTAAGGATGAGGTGTAATAAAATAAATATCACAAATTAATTCAAATTGATCAACTCAGTGTAAAGAAAATCTATATTCTATGTTGTAGAAAAAAGGCCATTCAATATAGTACTGATATAATTATTTAAAGGGGTGGTTCACTGGGTTTTTTCTAGGCTTGATTGTGTTTATGGGGTGCAGTCTAACATGTGTTAATGCTTCATTTAAAAAAACACACATTATTTTACACATAATTTACCTTTATTCCACACCGCTCTGTCCCTTCTCTGAGAAACGGGCTGATCTTTTCCTGTTTATATGAAGCACCGCCCTCAGAAATATGTGATGGGCTCTGATTGGTTAGCTAGCCCAGTGTGTTGTGATTGGCTAAACCGCCTCTAGTGCGTGTCTAACCATCCCGCCCCTCACCTCAGCGGCATGTGCTCCGGTTGTATTGTAAACAGTGGCGTCGTTAATATCGCTTATCAGTTTGAGCCCGATTGAGAAGCAGAGGATATTATTGAAGAGGATTGTGCAGAACCTGTGCAAACACGGCTTTTAATGGTAGGCCAATGTTTTTTGTTTGTTGTTGTCTCATACTTTTAGATATGCTGTTATCTGTAAATGCTACTGCTTATGTTAGCTTTTAATATACGGTTTTATCCTGATTAAAGCTTTAATACAGTATGGCAACTGCACGCGCGTCCTTGTATAACGCTTCTCATACCTATGTGAACATAATTGGAACAGTTCATTGTTGGAGCTGAGCTGAATGAGAGAGAGAGTGAGCGAGAGAGAGAGATGCAGAGCGTGTGCAGAGCAGGGGTACACAAGGAACAGTATTAAGAACCACTGCTTTAGAACATTGATTTTGAAACTTGTGAATCCATTAGAATCGTTAGAAGACAGAATCGCGATTCACATATGAATAGATTTTTACGTGCACCCCTAGTTTTCTCTTCCTCTTCTCTGAAGCAGCGCAGCATGGCCTTGCCCCCTTTGCTGCCTTTTCCCGAGGGCGGGGTTTATTGGGGTTTGTGATGTCACAAACCCGGGAAGTAACTTGATGTAGTCCCTACCAGCCATTTTTGTAGGCATTAAACTGCCAGAATTTTAAAAGGCGATATCTCCATTTGCATTGAACTTTCAGCTTCGTAACTTTGCAGATATTGTTCATGCTCAAACAGCAACATTACACACTAACTAACGTTAAAAAAAGTGAAATCGCAATCAACCACCCCTTTAAAGAATTTAGAAGATTTCTGTTGATATAATGAATACCATTAACATTTCAGATTTGACTTATACAAATGCTTTTCCAAGATCAAAGATCCATTTTACGGAAACCCGTTTCCACCGCGAAATAAAACATGAAGGTTTATAACTCTCAATTTTATTTTATCACAATTCTGACTTTTTTCTTACAATTCTGAGGACAAAAAGTCAGAATTTCAAGATATAAACTCAGAATTCTGACCTTTTCCTTAACTTACCTTATCTTTCCTGAGATGTAAACTAAAGCAATAAGCCCTAAGAAGCCGTGGTTTACAGTGAATTTATAACAGCTAAGGGGCATTTTTAGGCCCCTTAGCTGTTATAAATTCACTGTAAACCATGACTTCACGTGGCTTATTGCTTTTATAAAACGGTTATTCCATATACGTAATAAGGTTTCACAAAATAAAACAGAGCAAATAAAGTGTAATGAACAAACAACGTAGTTCCTCAGAAACAGTTGTGGTTGCAACAAAGTGGTTGCAGAGCAACACACAAACGTAAACAAAGGTGTGTGTTTGTAGAGTAATTTACAACAGCTTCGAACGCAGTGATCAGAATCAAGGACCGGAACTATATGTTTTACAATTACAATTCTGTGTTTACATCTCGAAATTCTGACCTTTTCTCTTAATTCTAAGTTTACATCCCACAATTCAGCATTTTTCTTTCCACCACAGAATAATAAAAAAAGGTAATTGTGACTTTCATCTCACAATTCTGATTTATTCTTGCAATTGCAAGTTTATATCTCATAATTTCCGACTCTTATTCTCAGAATTGTGTTTAAATCTTGCAATTCTGAATGTATATCTCACGATTCTGACTTAAAATCTTGCAATTCTGAGAAAAAAGTCTGAATTGTGGCATAAGACAATTACGTTTATTTTATTTTTTTCATCCCATGATGGAACCAGGCTTTCATTCAATACACCATGCATTCATCAAACCTGGATATGAGTTCGGAAATCCTGTTATGATGAATATTCTTTACATTGAATTGAGTAGCTATCAATACAACACACTCCCCTCTAACCTTCGTGTTTCTGTCATAGGTCTCTTTTAACTGGATGTGTTTTCCCGCTTTGCTGCCGAGGTCCATCCACTTCCCCTTCAACCACTTCATGGTGGGTTTACGTGTGAGGTTGGTGGAGTCCACCTTAACCACAAATGTTACATCTTTACCTGTGTCAAAAACAAAGAAGATCCATCTTAATGCAGCATTCATCCTGTAATGGGGGTTGTTTTGTTATGGCAACTATTTGAAGCTTTAATAATGTGTTTGCGTTTTTATACCTGAAATGGCTACCACACTTTCTGGCTTCTCCACAAAAAGTCCTGTCAGCTCAGTGCGTTCTGCAAGCATGTGACAGGTATGTTATATAAATACAAAAATGCACGCACACATGCAGACAGACTCGAATATTCACAGATAGGGATCCTGTAAATAACAACTCATGGTGTCCACAAGAAGCACGCTCTGTTTCCATTTTAAATATTCCTTGCAAATATTTAAAACATATTAATTCAAGCATAAAACAATAATACATTGGGTTGTTTTCTTAAACAATGAAGGACATTAATTATAGTATCACTGAAATAACTGAATTCTCCGTGAGCTTCATGCACAAGGAAGGAGACAATTCTTTCCTCTTCTCACTTTTTGCAGTCATTCATTTCAATATTACATTCATTTTCATAATAGGGCAGGCCAATTGTATTAGCCTACACACCTCACTGTAAATATAATAGGTATTATTGCACATTATATCATACAGTCCTTTCATGCACACCAACTTAGAACTCTTAAAGAAATTCTAAGTGATTTATATAGTTAGTATGTGGTTTAAATAATGCAAGGAAGTTGCTAAAGGATTTTCATAGCCATTCAGATTTATTACCATCCTCCTCTGGAGCTTCTGCAGATGAAAGAACAACGTTAAACTAAAGAAACCTACTGTATTAATAACTTGATATTTTTTATATTTAAAGGTCTTCTAATTTGGAAACGGTCAATGCAAGTTAATGGTGTCACTTACCCTCTGGCTTCACCTCTGTGGGAAGAAATGAGACAAAAAAGTGACATTAGACAACAGATTAAGTAAACATATAATTCATGTATAATATAGCGCATATATTTAACTTTAATGTTTTACCGATATGTTCTTCTGTAAGGTTCACATTTCTAGCTAACTAACAAGCTATCCAACTGAATGGCTTTTCTGAGGTAAATTTGACTTTGACGTTGTTTTGTTTATAAGCTGTTTCATTTCGCTATTCAAACACTTTGATTGGGCAATTACACGAGAGAGAATCCATGTCAGTAAGTTCTTTATATTTCACACCTTCTGATGTTCATTCATGTTTATGTTGTGTCAGAGCCGACATTAGTGGGGTGAAAGGTGGTGACGATTATAGGGGCCCCCGGCGATTTCAACAGACTGCCCGAGGCCATTCTAAAAAGACGCTCAGGACAGTTGACGGGCCACTGCTGCACGTCATCACCAAAGCTTATCATGTGCATGTGTTTTTAAGCCTTGCCAATGTAAACATTCAAGAGATTTTAAAGCATTCAAGCACAAGATGCGAGACCTCAACTGAGTATATATATATATATATCTCAGTGGTGTGCGGTGGTATTTTGAAATGAGGAGGCAAAGTCCTTTTTTTTTTTTTTTTTTAAATCAAATCAATTCTTGTCTCAGTCACATGTTCTTGGTTAAACAAACATTACTTACACTACCAGAAAATAACAATGAATCTCATCAAGTTAGTGTTTTTAAGCATTTCACGTTTATTCCAAAATAACTCAAGGCAGTAACAATTTAATCTATATATTTTATTTGTGAACTTATGTTCAGCTACCTTTTTAATAGTTAACTTTTAACTATTTTTGAATTATTCGGTTCATCAGTCATCAAAGCTCAGTAAATATTAGTCACAGACAGAGATTTACTTTAAATTTCAACAAGCTGATTACTCACTAAAAACTCCCACAGATCAAGTTTTCAGACCATTTTAAGTCTTATTTTGACGTAACAAAGTGGTTATATTTAAATGTTTGAGTTGTTTACTTACTTTTTAAAATGAGTCTTCCCATTAATGCCAAACGTAGAACGCGCATGAACACAAGAGACAGGATTTTGCATAAACCAATCACAGCCGAACATAGCCAGTCATATCCAATCATATCGTGATGAAGGCATTGTCTCCTCTCATGTGATTTTCCCCCATTCATTCTCAATTACCCCCACAGCATGCTTTAGTTCAGGGGTAGGCAACGTCGGTCCTGGAGTGCCAATGTCCTGCAGAGTTTAGCTCCAACCCTGAAAAAAAACCTCACCTGCCTGTAGCCTTAGTAATCCTGAAGACCTTAATTAGCTTGTTCAGGTGTGTTTGATTAGGGTTAGAGCTAAACTCTGCACAGGACATCGGCACTCCAGGACCAACGTTGCCTGCCCCTGCTTTAGTTGGTCTGTTAAAACTCAATGGGCTTAGGGGAGACAAGAGAGATGCGGAGTCCTGCTGTAACTTTATCTGCTGGTGTTGCTGTTGGACAGACTTTCTTTAGAAAAAACGAGTGATTTATACACTTTTTAATGTTATATTTTATAATATTGATGTTGTTTTATGTTTGTACTACGAATTTCTATTCTCATCCAATATTTATCATATATATATATATATATATATATATACGCACACACACACACACACAATTTTTTCTCTGCTTTGCACACACAAAGTTCAATAAAAATAAGTTTGAAGAAAAATATTTTTTAGATATGTAATATATATAATGTAAAAATATTACATTCTGCATGATAAAAATGATTTTAGCAAATGGCTGCAATATAACAAAGAGTGAAAAATTTAAGGGGGTCTGAATACTTTCCGTACCCACTGTATATAATGTAAATATATTACATTCTGCATGATAAAATATAAAGATTTCACGGTGATCTGATAAAACCAAGTTTTACATGTACATGTACATGTACATGTGAAGACGAGCGGAGAGTAGGCCTATAGAATAGGAAAAAAATAGCTAGCTAGCGAATACCTGCATATTAACAGTGTAAACATGAATTAACCATGCGACCATGTAATGATTAAATGTTCATAAATTAAGTGTATCAGCAATCATAAATCAAAGAAGAAATTTCTTAGAAATATATTTTACCTAGATGACGAGGATCACTCAGTCGCTTTGTGTCAAACTCAAATGCAGTTAAGGGGTTTTTGACCAGTGAATGTGTGCAAATATGCATTTTGTCTGTCATTAAAACGGCGAAATTTCTTAGAAATATATTTTACCTAGATGACGAGGATCACTCAGTCGCTTTGTGTCAAACTCAAATGCAGTTAAGGGGTTTTTGACCAGTGAATGTGTGCAAATATGCATTTTGTCCGTCATTAAAACGGCGACATCACGTTACGTTTTCATCAAAAGGTTACAGAGTTTGTTGTAGCTATATGGGCGCTCAGTTTTTTTCCTGTTGTAAAATACATTTGGCCAAAATGTCATTTTATAAAAGATGAAATACTACTGTATGCACAGGCTAGTATATGCTATTTAATGACTAGATGGCAAATGCTAGCCCTCTCTTTCCAGTCCCACATGTCTCAGGCCTCAAATACATCAAATATGAGCCTTTATAGACAGTGTTTCTTGCGTAAAGAAAACGCTGTAATTATTCAAACAACAAGATCGTTATTTAGGCTACCCTTGCAAGACTTCATTCAGTTGCTGTGGAACTTCAGTTCATTCAGTGAAGATAGAGGGTGTGAAGTTATGAGGTTTTTACTGGCAGTTTGAGCGGAGCCAACAAGATTTAGTCACAAGCTCTTTATAATACCTTTCAGTCATAAGCTCTTTTTAATACCTTTCATTTGCTAAATATTTCTAAAACAGACAGACAGACGTAAAGGGTGACCAATAGCATTGATGAAGAAAAAAACTAAACAAAAAAAAGGACACTTTAGAGTGTAAAGGCAAAAAGGGCATGTGCTCTGCACAGGTTGAGCCCTACCTGTGCACGTGGCTGTTCGAGGGTTATATTTGACAGAATATAGCTCATGCAGTCCTTTTTACCTGTTGAAATACCTTTAAATGGCCAGTAAAACCCATAAAATGCAGTTTTACATTTGCCAAAAAGTTATTAGAGGCACCAATCAGTTTTCGGCAGATGATCAATTTTCGGCATTTGTGTGAAACAGTAGTTTGATGTGAAGATCAAACTCCATCAGGTGCCTTTTGATGCTTTGTCGGAAAACAAGTTTTTTTGCATTGTTTGTCCAAGGATTTTTATTTGAAATACGTTTTATTTTTATTGTATAACACCGAACACCGAACACCGAACTGAGCTCTCCTCTGCATCCTCCTACGCCTGAACAGGAAAAAAAAATATTTCTGTCAGCTGCATGGGCATTCAGTCCTGAATACGTTTTTACATATTTGTGAGAAATATATTCAGTCAAATAAAAATAAAAATGTTACATTTTGAAGTAGAAAAACTGAAATAGTACTGAAATGTACTCCAATAATCTTCGAAAAATAATTTTGTACAGTGAATTTTATATATTTCAATTAACAGTCCAATGACCTGACAGAAGGCATTTTAGCATAAAAATGATTTAACATAAAAATATGTATATTTCTGCAATACATTAATTTAATAATGTTCAAACTGCGGCCCTGACTGACCATAAATGTTTCCGTGAATCATGACTGATGACCATCAGCTAAGTTACTATGAAACCTTTCTGACATCATCTGGCCTGATGATAAATATATTCCAGAGCTCTGAGTAGTAAGCTGATACGCTGTAGGAATCCTCAGGCACTCAGCCACACAGATGCTCTACAATCCTATAAATACGACACCAGAAAAATATAGGTGGCATAAACTGACCTCACAGTTTTAGACTTTCTTCTGTATATTTTTACATGCACATAAGACCTTTGACTGAGTTGTCTTCTCAGAATGGCAAAATATAGCTGTACATTTTATTAAAGGTGATGCCATATTTGCAATATAAACATGGGTTAGAATCTGCTGGTTAAGGGCAGTTTTAATGCACAGGAAGTGAATTTTCAAGTAAAACTAGAATAAGAAATGTTTAATTTCACTGTTTACATCTTGTTTGCTATTAAACTGAATTACTCTCTCTCTCTCTCTCTCTCTCTCTCTCTATATATATATATATACAGTATATATGTGTGTGTGTGTGTGTGTGTAACGTCATTGCATTAAATGTTGCATGCACCGCAAAAAATAATATCTTCTATATTCAAAAATCGAAACAGATACATTTACTTGAGATGCTAAATGAATTAAGTGAGCTTATGCATAAAACAAGAACAAATATCTCTCAAAAAACCTTTTCCCTTTAAATTAAGTTGACTTTTCTAAGCCCATTGGCAGATTTGGTTTTCTTTCTTGTTTTAATCATAAACTCACTTAATTTGAATACATTTCTCAGAAAACAAGACTATTTATGTCATGCTGCGTCTCAGGTAAATATATCTTGATTTAAGAATTTTTTAGACATTTTCACTGGAAAACAAGACGTTTACTGAGGAAGATTTATGTTCCCTTCAAATTATTGCTTTACTTGGTCTTAACCTGCAGATACCCTGATATATATTACCTCATTTCATCATCTGCAGTTGAAAAACCATACCAGTTGAGCACTAATTTCTTGTTTTGGAGTCGGAGGTGTCAATGCAATTTTATCAAGATGTTTCCACTCTGATGATGAGAAACTCTCTCTGATCATGTGGTCTGAAATAGCAGCATGCCTAACATCCGCCTCATTCTCAGGAGGGCACGTTGTTGCCATGGCACTTGTTAAAAGGCCACGGTAACATCGTAACCTCTCTGATGTCAGGCCAGGAATCTCTACCCGTCGACCACACCGATATCAAATAGCAAGCATCTAACAGTCGGGCTCTTATGGTCGGGCAAATAACTGTCAAAAATGACTGCCCTTAAAGTATAATGAGCCGTAAGCGCAGATATGCTGTGATTTGTTTTAGGTTAACCGAGAGG